TAAATACACTCTCCAGTATTTTCACATGAATAAAGATGATTTGAGCTCTACAACTCACATATTAAACCACAATATGAGTTTAGGAAGGTTTACAGAAGATTTCATTCAGTTTAAAGTATCGAAACATTCATTTTCTGACTAAACCACAGTCCATATTTTAAAGGTCTACATGGTGACAAAACTGCTGACAGTAAATAAAAGTAGTTGAAGTAGCCCAGATAATTTCAGATGGTTGTGTGCTGTGAAAACACCAGATCCTGAGTGCCCCCCACCCCCACCTCACTGACCAGTGTCTGTACTAAGGATGGATGTTTGCACTTGTCTCCCAATTTGATTCGATTTGAATTAACCAAGGCCAAGTGGCTTCATTTCAATTCTTGATGATTCACTTACATCAGATAAATATTAATGTTGCAACCAGAGAAAGACAACCAAAGAAAAGAAATGCTATCCAATAGAGCTACACATGGACTGTCAGTAGCAGATGCTGTAATGATCAGTTTTAGCACATTAAGGGCAGAAACACACGCTCTCCTCCAAGGGTGAGGTGCGTGGTAGCACTACTTCTGGTAGCATTGCTGCATAACTGCAGTTACTGCTGAGTATCGCTGATGTTGTCACATGCCCCTTTGGGGAAGAGCATAGAGGCACGAGCTTGTGCGGTGTGTGTGTGGGAACATGAACTCCAGTTGTTTTTATACATTTGAAGAAGTGGTCTCCAGTTACTCTAATTGCATTGGATTTGGCTTCACTGCTGTTTACCCCTGAAACTCCAAAAGTTTTTTGTGCATTCAAACACTTCACCAACCCTCCATCGACATGTGGTGAGTAGATAATGAGTGAATTTTCATTTTTTGGTGAACTATCCCTTTAATACCCAAGCAAGTACATACATGCACCATAATGTTCTCAACGCAGCTGGTTGCCTACACACGTGTATACAGCAATGTTTCGTGGGCCTTACCAATGAACACTCTGTCCGACTCCAGCAGAGAACCTCTTCTAGATCGCCCCATCACACTCCTCTGCAACACACACACCATTTTCACAAATTATCTCTAAAAGTTATAGTTTATGGAAACAGTGAATATGTACCATGAAGAGAATTTTTGAAGCAGAATTTTGCAGAATTCCCCAAGCACGGGCAGCATATTAAACTCACCAGATAATCATTTTGATGTGGAGGGGACAGGTCAAAATAATCTAGAACACAAGTGCATTGTTTAAACAAGATGTAAATGCAAAGAGCTGTAAACGTCACTGTTCTAGATACAGATCACAAAGTATAAATATTGACATAAAGAATTTTCATTCTAAAAATCCACATTAGAAACTAATTTTCCATCTTTCAACTTAAATAATTATATGTGAGCAGTTCTAACCGTCCTGGGCTGTCGTCCTCTGGCTGCTAAACTGCTGAGCTGGATCCCTGTGGTCGTATCTTCTCCTGCTGCTCACACCCACTTCCTCCAGTGGAACATCACCGGAACCAAGCCTCGACTTCCTGTCTGACTCACAAATGAACATAGCAACACTTTATGACCCATAATGTTGATTTGCAGTTAAGAATCCTCTAACCGGTGTACTACCTGTGTATTTGAGCTGAAGGGAGTCGTGGATCCGCAGCAGGTTTCCCGGCTCCATGTTTCTGGAGTTGGGTCTTCGGACTGGAGCTTGGAGCCGCAGCCTGGCCATATCGAACACATCTACCAGGGGGCGCTCCTGATGTCTGGACAGTTAAAGCGGCACAAAATGTCACTCCAATGGCACAGCAGAATGCTTAACATTACCCAAAAAATCTGAGACAAAGTGCAACACAACTGAAGTAGTCCTTCAATGACATCACCATATATTTCAATCTTCTATCCATCACTTTCACAATTTATCTATTTCACCTGTTCACCATTACTTTAAACCGCTGTGAATCATGAACAATTTATTTTAGCTGTTGATTTTAAAAAATCAAATATCAAGTTTAGCCGTTTTTACATTTTAACAAGTTATTTTGCACTGGTCAAATACCCGCTAACATCTGCCTTTTGTCTGCAATCAGACTGGATACAATCAGCAAGCTCTGATCAGCAGTGATAGAAACTCAACACCGGGGTACGGGACCTGTGTATAAGTCTTCCTGTTTGAGAACCACAGAAAGAAACTATCAAGACATCGTCCAGCTGACTGATCCATAACAATATTCAACGGCCTTGGGCCTTGAATACAGGTAGAGACAGATACACTCAGTGTAATATGTCCACAAAATCCTGCACTTACTGTGATAAATGGAATGTTTCAGCGTGATGCATCTGCCAGCTCTCACCTGTCACTCAGTGGAGAGTCTAACTCCTCCCAGTCGTCCTGCTGCAGATGACCCTCCAACCGCCTCTGTTCACAGCGAAGCTGCCGACGCAAAGCTGACAGCTCGCTGAACACGTCACGCTGGTCACCTGAACACACACGCACGCACGCACACACACAGCATCTGATAAAGTGATTCCACTTCCAATGCCAGTTATCAGTACTAAACTTTAGAGACAAGAAAAATTTAAGATGCACACAATGAGGTCAATAGATAGGATCAGTGGGACTAAGACACTACAGATTTGAGTTGTTTGCTCAAATTATTTGTTTTATTCCTTTCGAACTGCCCATCATAACTGACACATATACTGTAGATCAAGTGTGTGTGTGTGTGTGTGTGT